CACGCACACGCACACGCACACGCACACGCACACGCACACGCACACGCACACGCACACGCACACGCACACGCACACGCACACGCACACGCACACGCACACGCACACGCACACGCACACGCACACGCACACGCACACGCACACGAACACGCACACGCACACGCACACGCACACGCACACGCACACGCACACGCACACGCACACGCACACGCACACGCACACGCACACGCACACGCACACGCACACGCACACGCACACGCACACGCACACGCACACGCACACGCACACCCGCGCACACGCGCACGCACGCACGCACGCACGCACGCACGCACGCACGCACGCACGCACCCACGCACCCACGCACCCACGCACCGACGCACCCACGCACACACGCACACACGCACACACGCACACACGCACACACGCACACACGCACACACGCACACACGCACACACGCACACACGCACACACGCACACACGCACACACGCACACACGCACACACGCACACACACACACGCACACACGCACACACGCACACACGCACACACGCACACACGCACACACGCACACACGCACACACGCACACACGCACACACGCACACACGCACCCGCGCGCGCGCATTTTTACACCCCTCCCCCCAAGGACTACGTGCTCCTCACGGTCCAGAACCTGCAGTTCGAACCAAGCAGCCAGGGATACCTACACATCTACAGCGGCTGCAGCCACTTGTTGAAGGATTTGCCGACCCTGAACCCGTGAACCCGATGGCCCACAAAGGCCTCGACCCCCGAAGTGCATGACAGTCGGAGCCACCAAACTTACTGCATCGACCCGTGTTTTTGAGCTTACCCCCGCTGTTGAAACAAGTCGGCAAGAGTGTGATAGGGATTCTGACGAGCACCGCGGAAACAACCCTGGAATTGAGGGCTCATTCGGTTTTGTCATGTGCAGTGTTGCACTCCCGGCGACAGGCAAGATACAGGAAGCAAATACGGGCTGAGGTTCTCGAGGTGTTTGCTGCTTGCAGGGAAGAAGGTGGCCCTCCTGATTCCCCCTTGGAAGCCTTAAAGCTGATTAAAGCCCCTACCATGGTGAGGTGAGAACTGCCAGGACTGTTATGCAGGCGCCGGGGGTAGTGCCAAGTTGTGATGGGCTGAGAGTAGGGTCAGGTCCATGTCGTCCTGCGGTGGCCATGATATCACCCCACTATCAGGGCAGGCATGGTGTCCTACCCACATTGCATGACGTGGTGCATGATGCGGGCATTCTAGGAATGGTTTAATCAATGTCCGGCAGACTGGGTAGTCCGCATAAAAAGGGTAGCGGACCTCAGTCCCTCAAGCAGTCGTAGATGGTCCCATGGATGCCAAGCCTCTCTTTGCTAACCTTGGGAAGCCCGCAGCCAAAACCCTAAAGTGAGAAAGCAAGATTACGTGCAAGAATAGTGAGGAACACTGCGATGCAAGAAAAAGAGAAAGTTTGAGTACGCCATGAGTAATGTCTTATACCGTGCTCGTCAACGAACCATTCTCAATATTCTGCAAACCATCAAAAGCTTAGTCGCTCAGCTGGCTTTCTGGTTTTCACGCCTTTTGCTCCTGCCAGTATCGATCGTGCTTGTTCCTCCGTTGTTTCTCGTCTTTTCTTACTCGCTTTTAATGTTTCTTCACTGGCTTGGCTCTGTCAAAAACCCATAGGTCCCTGTAGCACCCCTTGGCATGGCAACCCACTGTGCTGGCAGACCGCAGAAAGCTGCAACTGTACCGTACATAGTGACATTGATCCAGCTTGTCGCGGCTCATGCTTGCACAACCTGGAAAACACGGGCCGTCCAAGCTGTGTGAACCGTGGCCCAGTGCATTCTCCGAGCTTCGCCACAGGCACCGGGCAATCACTGCATCCCGTGCGACTGCCAAGTATGTGCGGTAGCACGGACACGCAGTCTGTGCCCTTGCTGCATTTGGCAGCATGTTTCTCTTTTCAAATTCGGAAAGATGGAGTTCATGGACCAATTTCCCGTTGCTTGGTGTTCGAGACTCTATGACGTGACCTGACCGGTCGATAGACATTGATACTTTGATTTGATTTTGTCGCGGTTCGATGCCATGTCCCGATTCTACCACGTCGGAGCGGGAGAAGGTCGGAGGTGAGAGGTGGGGCCAGGTGGGGAGGAGGAATGAAAGGTGGAAGTGAGGAAGTGAGGCGGGGAGAGCGCCCGCGCACCTTTTCGATCAACACCTAGTCACCTAGTACACACCCCACTGAGTGTCGAGAACAGCTCCGTGTGTTGCAAGTCGTCGCCCTCGCCTAGCGACAGCTGCGCCGGCAGTCTCTGTGATCACTTTTATATTGAATAATGCGCAGCAGCTCTAGCAGGCACCTGCAACAAAAACGGGGGCAACCCGCTCCAAGGTCTACGGCTTGTTATACAACCCGGGTGATGGCGCCGCACCCAGAGTTCAGAATCCTGTTCAGCAGCAACAGGGCATTCACGATGTTCAGTGGGCAGCACCCCTCATCCCTAGAATCCCTTTTCAACTGCAATTGCCGCAATGGACTTCAGTGCCATGTGCACGTGTCACCGAGGCGCGTACGACACAACCTTCAATTGCGTTGACTCACTGGACACCTACTGGGAACAGTACGGTAGCAATGATTTGTTCGCCACTATCATGCGGGTATCCATAGCTGGGCTCATAGCAACTTCGGCTGCAAGCATGTCGCGCTTCACTTTGGGATCGCAGCACAGTTTGGGGGGATGAGAGCATTAGTTGGGAAGGCCTCAGGTGGGGTTTGCCCATGACTGCCCATGGCCCTCATAACGAGGTTCTCGTGGTGATCACGCTGGGCTCTTTCATCTACCTGAGAGTGTGCAAGAGGGAGGTCCACCCATCCTACGACATGGCCTACAACAGTTCAAGCGTGCGATCATCGCGAGGCAAGATAGTAAGAAAATGCCGCTGGGGATGCAGGATCTGCTTTGGGCCTTTGTTTGTCCGTGTGCTCTGCCCCCGTGCGGCGCGTTGCGGCGGCTGCCCTTAAATGTCGACGGCAAGCCGAAGACAACACCTCCCGCACAGGCGATGGCACGCAGCCTGCAATCACGAAGGAGCAGGTGGGGTGGTCCAAACCTGAAGTGCAAAGCAAAGCGGCCATGCTTCATTCATGTGCACTGGGAGGTTGCTCAGCATTGGGCCCCATTACAGTAGGGCTTACGGCTTACGGTGACTACAAGGTTTTTGGGGCTTGTGGGGCTTGGGCCTGCAGTCTCTCTGCACGCGTGTACTGACTGCAGCTTGCCCACGTGCAGATGAACCAGTCGTTGGTCCCTTCACTGCTATTGTCAGCTGAATGATATGACAAGTCATGTGAGAAGTCGTTTTGCGCTGCTTGTTTACGCCACGATCGTTCAGAAAATCACCGGCACTGGGCGGTTGATCCTGAAAAACACCAAACCAACTTGATCAAGATGCTGGGGTATGGCTACCCATGAGCCGGTGAGGGCACGACTGCCCATGCCAGGTTGAAGCCTGGTTGCCTACCGTTCAGCTGGAAGAGGACGGTCGTGAGCTCGAACCGGTTGATGGATCGAGCTGGGCATATATATATATATATCTGTGTGTGTGAGTGTGAGTGTGAGTGTGAGTGTGAGTGTGAGTGTGTGTGTGTGTGTGTGAGTGTGAGTGTGAGTGTGAGTGTGAGTGTGAGTGTGAGTGTGAGTGTGAGTGTGTGTGTGTGTGTGTGTGTGTGTCTGTGTGGTCATATGTACATAGAGAGATATGTACAATGTCGGAAGGGTTGGAGCGTACATGCAGTATATAAGGCTCGGCAAGATCACAGTGATTAAGGGAGGCGACTGGGATTTGGATCCTGCGCTAAAACCTCGTTCATTCAACTGGATGCCTGGCATGCCTAACGCCGCCGACGCAGACTTTCCCGAAAAACGGCTAGTTTCCTTGCCTGTTTTGCTCGGGGGCGATGGGCGTCGCTGACCAGGAGCAGACGTGTTCCGTTTGTCTCGACACCGTGGGGCCTGGTGATGAAGCACGTAGGCTTCAGTGCCAGCATGCCTCCTGGACGAGTGAGAGTTGGGTTTCGGGTCACACAGCCTATTTGGGACCATTGTCAGGAGGTTTAAGTCTTGGGGGCTTGTTTTGCTGTTGAAGTCTTTGGATGTTGGGCTTGCTGTGTCGACTGCCATCAACACATCGGGACTTACATCTAGGTGGTGCAGGAGGTCCATCGGGGGGCGGGCGGGGTGGGGGTGGTGGGCGGGGCTATAGGCAACGCGGATTAGGCAACGTAGTGTTACAGTTGGGCTACTGTGTGCAGCTGAACAAACAGCCGCTTCCAGAGTTGTGCCTTGTTTTTTTTGCCACAAGCTGTCTGGCATTCGGGCCAGTCCTGCCAAAACCCTACGAGAAAACCCCGAGCCCTGAGCTGACCAGTAGATTGGGGGTGAATACGGCCACTAAGGGATTAGTGTTGACTTGAAGTGTCTTTCCCATACCTCGACTTGTCCCTGCAGCACTGCGTGCAGTGCACCTATAGGCTTGAGACAAAGAACATGCAAGGCTTTCCACGCCGAGTGCATCATGACCTGGTGTGTACACCGTGGGCAGCAAGTTATCGAGTGTCCCATGTGCAGACAGCGGCATCAAACTGCGATGGCGGCCGGGTTGCAGCTTAGTTCTCTTGGAGGGTTGCGTTGGATTTGGGTTTACAATGGCTTACACATGGTTCTCGTACATTGGCCTCAAAAGGAACTTTAAGGATGTGCATTTGCGAGATTCTTTGCAGTCGCAGGTCTGTTGGGACAGGAGAAGACGATAGTTAGAGGCATGGCAGAGTGGTCAGAGGTGTCAGATTCTGCAAGGAAAGCCTGGAAAAGATGGTTGATGCCAGACACAACGAAGTTCCGAATAGCCGCCGTCACTCAAACCTCACACGGATTCAGCCCAAACAAACCCCGCAGCGGAAGGCTCTAGCAAAGAAAAAGAGATTGTTTACCGTGTATAATTAGGCAGACTAAGCCAAAACTAAAACTCCGAAGAAAACTTCCAGGTTCAACCCGATCCCCCTAGAGCCTGAAAACCCTTGACGTCAATGCCATAGTAATGCCCTCAAGCTTAAACTCTCAAAACGCGTTAAAATTTCAGGAAGCGAGGGTGCTCCATCCCGGCCATGAAGCCCTGACGGCCGCAAAACCAAAAAGCAAAGAGCTCCCAAAACCTACCAAGACCCGAAACTCCTAACCCTTCACCTTACATCCCTAAACCCCCGGCCCTCAACCCTGCATGAAGCAGGGTTTACTTTTGGGGGTACAAGAAATATAAACCCTACTTCACATGCCTTTCCTGAAGGCAGAGTCCCCGCCAGCTCCGGCGCCGAACGTTGTTGGTGCCGTTTGCAAACCGCTCGGGTTCAAAGGGTCGCAAGATTTGGGGATGCTTGTGTAGTGTTTTGGAGTGTTTCTTGGGTGTTTTCCGATGTTAAAACGTCGGCCTCTGGAATGTTAGAGCCCTTGAAACGCGTGGGGTTCTTCGATGCTAGAAGGTTTATAGAGCTCAGGGCCATGGTGCAAGGGGCTTGGGATGGGATTCCCAGGATGGACGCGGGGTTTCTGCATGCTTTTCTGCGGCTTCCTTTCGATTTCGGGTTGAGGGTTCAAGCATGCTGGTGCTCACCAACCCTGCCCCAGAAGCCCAAGTGATGCTCTATAAGGGTTAGGGTGTGCCGCGGAGGGGGGGGGGGGATTAGCAGCCAGACTCTTCTCACACAGCACAATAGGACAGCTCCAGCGGACGTTTGGGCAGGGCGCACAGACAAGGACACAATCCCTGGGCGAATGTTTGCGCGTGCCCACTGAAACACTCATTGTAACGTAGGCAATGCAGCTTCGACAGACCTGACACCCTTGGACCTTCATCCGCAGGTGCAAGTCATGAGGCTGCCGATCCTGAGGCAGCTGAACTTTGACCCAGCCACATTTAGCCACATTTTCCAGCGGTGCATCGTTAGATCTGCTTGGTCGGCACACGAGAAATGCTCAATGATAGGCTTCCGGTCTTCACAAGTCGAGCAGACCTTTAGCATCTGCCACCTGTGCGTCGTCTTTGGGTCTCCCAACGGTCCCTTCGACCGGTTAGGCGGGGTTGCGGCCTTGCGATGCCAGCGTCGCAGTCCTCACATCGTCGTGTTGCCGTAACTTGCTTTAGATTGGAGTTTACTAGTCGCTAGTCTTTTGCATCCTTTTGCTGCGGCGTGATGGGAGAACTGGCCGAAAGCTGCAAAGCAGCCATGGATCAGCATTGGCCCGGGGACTCAAGAGTTCTCGTGCCATTTAGCACAGTACCCACACAGGCCATGAGCAGTGCTTGCGCGTGCGAGATCTTTTGGAGAGATGTGCCAGCATGTGTATCAGACCATGCCTGTGGAACATGAGTTTTCGAATCACAAGAACTGCCTTGGGAATCTTCTGCATTTTCTGGCTTCGTCCACCACCTGCGAGATGAAGTAATATGCAAAGGTGCATCGGGATTTGAAATTTGGTCGTCTGGCATGCTTCCGACGGAAAAGACCGGCTCCTAAGCAGTACGGCAAGCTTACGCCGCGGGGCGAATATGAACCTATGTCAGCCTTTGACGAAGCAAGCGGACGGCTCTCTCACAGTCACGTAGCGCACGAAGAGTTGTTTTCAACGGGCTGGCACATCCACTCAAGTCAGTGAGCCAGTTGATGTAGATAACCACCTGTTGGGCGCAGAATAATAGTAATAGAAGTAATAGAAATAATAATAATAATAATAATGATGTCAATAAGAATAGAAGTGATGTGCCGGGGGCCCGTCTGATGTATCTCAGCAGGCCTGAGGCCCCTTGAGATGATTCCTGGACAGACTTGGAAGGCAGGCCATCCTAAACTCACCACCACATTACTATTATTATTACTACTAGTATGATTAAATTATAAATATTATCATGGTTATTATTATGATTATGATTATTATGATTATGATGATTTGGTGCTAACAGACAAAGCTGAAGCTGCAGCATCCATGTCAGCTGGCCTTGCTGCTCCCAGTCACAGGGCTTCCAGTTCAGCAGTAGCGCAGGCTTCCTGCTCTAGCCCAGGGCTGGTGTGTTCCTGCAAGGGAATGCTTGCACCTGCTGTGGAAGCGGCCTGCCTATTGTTGTGAGCGGCAACCTTTTAATACGGTCAAGTGAAAAAGAAGCCAGTGCCACTGCTCTTCGGGTTTAGACTTTGTTTGAAGTTGGAGAGGAAAAAGGGCTTGGTGGTTGACGGAAAGTCGCGCTGACATGGGCGCTGTCAGCCTCGGTAGCCTTGAGTCATTGAGCCGGGTCGGGGGGTGCAGGCGCTCGGCTGGAGCATCATGAGCAGCAAGCAAAAGCCTTTGAGCCAAGTTGGGGGATGCTGTCATCAGCTGAAGAAGGCCTTGAGCTAGGTTTGGGGATGGAGGCACCCAGCTTGAGCATCATGCGCATCAACTGCATCGGCTGGGAAGGTAGGGGACGGCGCCCAGCTGGAGCACCATGAGCATCGATGCAGGCGCCTGGCTGGAGCATCATGAGCATCAGCAGAGTCAGCTGGGAACATCCGCAAAACATCGCAACAAAAGCGATGCGAGCAACTTAATGACTTAATGTCAACCTGCAGCTCATCGTTGCGAATCACGGTTTGATGAGCCATGTCGAAGCTCCCCAAACCTGGAAAGGAAGGAGGCAACCGGCTGCATGAGCAGCTGCGAAGACCTTGGGGGATGAAGGTGCCCGGCTGGAGCATGAGCTAGGCCTTGAGCCGGGTTGGCATCGTGGACCGCAGGCCATGCTCACAGGGATCCTGGGACGCCTCGATAAGGGGGGTGGGAGGTAGATGCCCGCTGTCATCCAGTTCTGAAGAAGCATCTTTTTCGACACATGCATCTTGGGGAAGGCTACACGAGATCATCCCGCAGAAGCATGAACAATGTGCGGGTTGCACTGATCCATGCAATGCTTCACATGTTGAAAGATTCAGCGGGAGAAACAGAGGCACTGTATGGATGCCCCAATAAACCAGGCAGCTGTCTTCGACTGCACACACTGCGTTGGGAACTTGCCCGATCATCTGCCCACACACTTTTGCTGCAATCCAAACGGTCCCCAGCAGCTGAAACCCCATTCCTGAACCTATGGTACTCATAAATTCCAAAGCTGCGGCTCGCACGCCCAGAGTGGGTCGGGGCGGTCAGCGGAGGGCTGAGTCAGAAGAGTTGAAACATGTCTGAACTTGATGCTGCAGCTCCTGGCTTGAAGATGCCATGCAGTCGGCTTCTCGGGACCTATGGATGAGGACTGGGAGTGCCTGTGGGGGAAGCGCTGCTTGGTAGTCAGGATGACAAGTTGGCGTAGATGTGTGCTTCAGGCTCGCGGACGGCGTCATGCCCTGCAATCCCCTGCGTGAAAAATGAATCTACGGAATTTAAGCGACACATGTGATGAGTGCTGGTGGGGAGAGGCCAGCCCGACATGGCTGCACAAGGTCACCTTTCTTGTGACGCCATCCCCGAAACCTTGGCCCCAAAGAGCCCCCCAGCAGCAGAATGATTGGAGGAGTGGTCGCGTGCGGAGCAGAGGGAGCAGGCCATGCACACGCTCTTGTGAGGTGGTAGGGGCTCGCTTCGACAGGCTTGTAGGAAAATTGTTTTGCGGTGTTGTATCATGAATTTGCGGGCGCGTATTGAGGTGTCGCTGAAGGCCCAAGTGACGCTGCTGAAGCAGCCACTTGCTCAGCCGTACTGTGCTGTGGAAGCTGCCACGGCCGGTTTGCATCGTCTCTTCAGGCGCCAGGATGCACCATGTTGGTCTGCAGCGTCCGTTTTGTTTTTTGGATTGTAGCAGTCGAGTTGCGTTCCACACAAGTCAGATTGCCATGTTTCCCAGGTCTCACGCCGCGGCCCAGGCAGAGATCTCCAAATTGCGGCGAGAGCTCGCGCAGAGGACTTTCATGCCCTCACGATTTGGAATCGACTGGGGGGGACTGCTCCAGGCTCAGGATAGGCTGGGTAACGCCGTGCCGCCCGTGCCGGGCAAACGGTTGCATCGTGTGCCTTGAAGCCTGGGCAGTTTTGCAAGAGAGTGGGTCCACGGCCCCATCAGTATATCTCAGTATCATTTCAGGGAAGGCTTTCCGCGGAAGCTTGCCGTAGCTTGAGTGGCCAGCTGCGCGGCTGCGCAAGGAGTTCCAGCATCGTGCCTCACATCTTCAATTTTTCAAGCCGGCAACGACCAGAGTCGTATTATGCGGCCAGGCGGCAAGCTGAAAGAGTCCCACAGTTGAGCAAGCGCTGCTAGGATCCTGAAGCGAATGGCTTCTCAGAACTCCTATCTCCTATACAATACCGAGAGCCGAGATCTCGAAAGAACCTGACGGCGATTGAGCTTGTCACGATTTCCCAAGTACTACCAAGCACTGTGCACCTAAGGTGGGAGATGCAAAAGACCCTGACACGGAGCGTAGCACGTACAGCGACGAGAGCTCGGCCTCAAGTGCCCTAGCACTGATTCAGGGAGCTTCCTGCCGCTGAGAAACTCCTTTTTCAGAAGCCTGGGTTGGGTCTTATCATCTAGTCAGTGATGGACATCGTTTCTCAACTCGATGTGTTTCCGGACTGCGTCAGCCACATCCCATCAGAAAGTAAGACCATTGTCCTTCATGTCGTCCTTGTTCAGGTGAACTGCGCCAGGAAGCTTCCCCGCGTAGCCTTGCTGCCGATGCCCCTTGGCACACACATGCCGTTTAGCTTATGGCTCGACTGACGCTTCCGCAAATCGTTCAGATTGCCCGGAAGTCATCGTATCAGCTACAGCATGCGACAATCACTAGTAGGCATCTTCCATCGACGCCACATTGCATTGTTAGATGGGCCAGATGACCCGTTTTGCGATGTCCAAGCACACTTGGGTTTGATCCCTAAGCCCGAAGTGTTCGATGTAGGCACACCAACTGCCCACTGAGTCAATCCCACGTAGTGTTTTTGAAGCAAACCCTGAGCCACACAAATCTACAACATGCGATACCTGACAACTGTTAGACCCTGGCATCATTCGCGTGGCAGGTGCCAACGCCAGATTCCATAGGCAAGGCTTTGTCTTGTTTAGTGGACTGCGCAGGTTTCCTGCTCTTAAGGGCTTTCTGTGCTTTCTGGACTCTCCGTACTTTGCTGCAGCTGTCTGTGTCAAGAAAGAGTGCCACCACCGCAACCCAGCCCCCCTTGAGAGCTTCGACTCCGGCCCAAAAACCCCGCCAGGCGTTTCGGACTGGCTGGCTTTTGACATGGACCACTTCTCAGTTCTGGCCAATCCACGGGCCTGAGGGTAGGGGTTTGAATGGTTCCATCTTCCCTCCGAACACTCTCCAAAAAGATGTCCTAGGCTGTGCTGCATCTACTCAACAATGTGAGGTGTCACATCGGTTATTGAATTTCGCTGTCTCGAGGCCGTGAGTAACATGTCAGTCCTGCATCCCGCATCCCGACCGTCGCCTTCGCCTCTCAAAAGAGCCCAGCGCGTTTTTCGTGACGGTTTCAGGGCTTTAGGGCAGAGGTGCTCAAAGAGGTGAAGAGGGCCCATGCGCCCTGGTCATGGGTTCCTCTCATGGGCTTCTGGGGCGCTTCGCTGCCTTCCCGAGGTGGCGACCCTTGTGGCCGGACCAGGCGTGGCCCGCATCGGGGTAGGATTCCTCAACTTGCCACCGGTGCCCCTGGTGGTGAAGAGGGCCCGAAGCCCAGGCTCAGAGTCCTTTCACAGGTCTTCATTTGGTGTGAGTTTTGCGCTGCTCACGCCGAGCTGGACAAAGAACCACAGAGGTGCAAGAGTCGTGTTGAAGAGTTTTGTAGGAACAGACAGGGATCTCCGGATTGCTCAGTCGGGGCAAGATTCTCAGACATCGGAACCCTGTCCGAAAAGTTGAGGAGAGCTTTGGGTTCATTCAGAAGAGCCACAAACTTGTTCCAGGGAGGTGCATCGTTGCTGAAGCCTGTGATCCTGGATTTCTTCGTGCATCCAGGTTACCAGAGGCTCCTGGGCAGAAAAACAAGGCCAGCAGCCAGTCGTGCGCTTGATCAGGTCAATTCGTCATTCGCACCCGTGCACTGCGGCATGACTTCGGAAAGGTACACTGAGAGCATTGAAGAAGAGTGTGGCCCCGCAAGCTTGTATTCGCAACAGTCGCAAAAAAAACCCACCGTGGGGCAAAACCCCGAAAGGGCACTCGTGCAACGCCAGCACGGCTGATAGCAAAATTCGTTCAATCCGCGTACATGGAGCGCAAAAAAAGTTGCACTCAAACTGCTTGATGGGGCTTGAGCTGTTGCCTGTTTAGAGAGTGTTGGAGTTCAAGAGTAGTTCAGGCTTACAGCTATGCTGAGCTCGTGGGGCACACGGAATAACACTTTTTCCGTTGGGGATCGGTTTGGGTTTTGGGTTTGGCATTGGGAGTGTGTCCCAGAAGGCACACTGGCAAAAGAGTGGACAGCCTCCGTGCCCAACCCTGAACCGCCGATTGTCACGCTACGCTCCCGCCGAGAGGCATCCGCTGCGGTGATGAATTTATGCAGCCGGGCCGCAGTGAAGCAGTGAAGGGGCAATGCCGGCCATTCTGATTGAAAGCCCTGGTTTGCATCCACCAAGACAGACAGCCCCTTCAGTGCGCAACCATGTCGGCTGAACAGCTACACCTTTTAAACAACTCAACCTCTCAAATATCTCAAATCTGCACCACTCAAAGCAGCGGCCCAGGTCTGTGGACCATCGGCGATCGAGGGCCTACACCTCCTCTGAGTTCATGCAAGCGATGAAGAAACGACCCCTGGTCATCAAGCTCGAAGCTCAGATGTACGGGTTGAGGAGGATGTGCAACTCGAAAAAGAAGATGGGGGTGGTGACAGTAGTTGCATCCTATGTTTACCTTTTTTGTCAGGATTGTTGCTACCGTCCTGTTCTTTTGCTAGTTGATATGCTGCTGCTTCCTTTCGTGTTTGCCTTCTCTGGCTTGTTCAATCACACCTTGCCCGCTTTTGAGCGTCTTGTGCCGGATGGTTTTGCCTTGTATCGCTGACCAGATGCAGTCAACAATCCGTCTTGCCATAAATCTCGCCGTCACAGGTTGAGGCGGACTGTGCGCAAAGAAGGCGTCGAGGTCGGCGGCAGGGCGCTGTGCCAGACAAGAATTTTTACATCAGATGCCCAATCAAGGGGCCATATTGAATCTTGGACCTGCTCAAATTGCTTCTTTCGCTACACACTCACTCCAAATGGTGCACGAAAGCAACCCCAGTTGATTTGGTGGACTCTCAACACTGCCCTACACTGCGAACACTGCCCTACACTGCGAACCCAGGCACCCCCCATCCGTTTCTTGCTCGACAGGCCCCAGGCCTACCACAGCTCGCCAGCTTCGGCGCAGAGGCTGCCAGTGCAGACTTGCTAGGCTGAAGATCTCACGCACAGCAGGGGCTACTTTTGTGGGTTGCTTGTTATCGTTTGTGGGATCCGAATTGGTACATTGGTACGTGTAGCTGGGAAGAGTGCCATCAACCAGATGCCTGTCCTTCATCTTCAGCACGGACAGTCCTGGCAAGCGCCGGCTGGGAAGTGATTCTCATGTCTTGCATTCAGTAGAATTGATGGGAGTACCAGACCTTGCATTGCAAGGCTTCTCCTGTACATGCTCCCTGCCTATGGTCATGCTTTCTACGACCCAGCGCTACATGTCTCGGCAATGTTCCGGCGATTCGTACAGGGAGCTACACCAGCATTTTTAAGAGTCAGGCGAACACCCCTGAGATCCCCCGAAGCTTTGGTTCCCAAACCATTCCGGCAGCGGCCACATGTCAACATGGCGCATACATGAACATGCCGGGCACCACCCCTGACCGCTGCAAAACCTTGTCGTCCACCTACGCCGCACCTGCAGGTTTCGGACACCCAAAGCGTGGACCAAGAGGAGGAGGACGAGGAGGAAGAGGAGCCGAAGCGAAACCGTCTCAAGTCCGAAAGGTGGGAGAACATTGTTTGGTGCACGCTGTCGTAAATGGCTTCCATGGCCACTGCTCATGCAACACCGTGTGCAACGGAACTCAGTCTGTCAGGAGGCAGGGCAACCTCTAGGCTTAACTCGTGAATCCTGAATGGTTGCCGAATCCAGGTCCCTGAGCCCTTTGAACGCTCTTGTGGAGGCCCGAAGAATAGGGCAGCCCCTTCAACGTGTAAGCCTCCCTGGGATGATCCCACCACAAAAATGAGGAGGATGAGGAGGACGACGACGACGAGGCAGAGGACATGTGCCCTGCCACCGCCTCGAATTGTGATTCATGGCAAATGGACGGTATCTTCGCAGCTTAGCTTATTTGCTGACATCCTGGTAGGGTTCCTGCATTCGGTGAAGCCGACCGTCTTGTACTAGACGGGTGCACTTCGAAGGCAAGTCTAGCCGAGTTTAGCCTCTCAGCCCTAGGAGAAGTGACAACAAGCTACATTCAAGCTACATCAACCCAAATTCAAAGAGGCCTTGTGGCATCCCAGAATCCCAGCGGCCTGTTTTCGGTTGGCCGTGCTGGCCCCTTGCCTCCGTGCCTTAAGGAGAAGGCACAGGAGGCCATCCCGGCTGCAACTTCTTCTTTGGAGTATATTGGGGGGGGGGGGGGGTTCTGCGGTTTAGGGCTTGGGCCAAAGTGGCCCTTTCAGTTAGGCGCGCCCCCTTTTTTCTTTCCCAACCCTACTGGCTATCGCTGTCAGGTGGCCGAGAAGTTGGCCAAAGAGGCCGCGGTCTGAAGGGATCTAAGAAAGCTCTGAAGAAAGCTTCGGGCTCGGGAAAGCTTAGCCAGCTTTCGGCGCCTCAGCAATGACTCGTCCAGGTAAAAGCCAATGCAAAGAGGGACGAGGAGAGGCGGAGCCGATTGGGTCAAAAGGAGCTCCGTGAGGTCCCTCCTGGGATTGTTCGGACATCCGGTGAGCCTTCGAGGCTACGCCGACTCAGTGCACCCGGAAAAGAGCTTGGAAAGCAGAGGCTGACGCAGCTGGAGGAGAAGAGGCTGTCGCTGCCATCCTTTCGCCGAGCTCACGCCACGGACGCGAGAGACGCGAGCAGAGGCGAAGCCAAGCTGGTTGAGGCTGAGGATCCGCTGGGAGGCTCGGCCTCATGGCCTAAGTTCCGCGGGGCGCTGCCGCGGGAAGAGGGGGAGACTTGGATGTGCTATGATGTTCTTTGGATGTTCTTGATTCTTGAGAACTCGATTGAAAAATAAGTGAGCAGCACCCAGAGAATCTGAAATCCCTGGCCCATGGATCCATGATTTGCAGAAGGGCCACATCCTTCTGCCATGCTTTCTACACCCCATCAACTCGAGCTGCTTTTTCATCGTGTTTAGGAGACAGACCAGCCTGATGAAGACGAAGACGTCGAACAGGATGAGACTTGCTCTGCACATAAGGTCTTCACCAGGCATCGTCATTTTTGTTTGCCTTTTGGAGGCTGCGCACTCAAGCCTCGAGGGCATTCCACCCACCTCAGACTTAAACTCCAACTTAGACCGAGTTCTCCAACTCTTAGCTGCCCTGACACCGCTCCTCAACTCTCTGGTGCCTTCCTACCCCCAGAACATGGAAAATTCTGGCCCAGCAGAGGACGGCAGCTCCAAGGAGGGCCGAAGCGAACAGGCCGCTTGGCAAGGCTCAAGGATGGTTTAAGTGGGCAGGGAGGGCAAAGTTGAAGTCTGGCAGAATTTAGTGCTACCTGAGTTTTTTGTGGGGTCAAGATAGGGGGCCTTTACGACATGGCTCTTTCACTTGCATTCGCTCACTGACCCCGAGGAGGAGGAGGCCAACATGAGCTGCAGCACCATCCTCATCGATTCAAGTGACCCCGCTTGAAGCCTGCAGCACAGGCAGCCAGAATAATTCAACGCTCGAACCCCCCCCCCCCCCCACAGGCTTTTCCTGACCGAACCTGGGAAGGTACAAGTCTCGAATCCACGCCGACGATGGATGGTGTGAGCCGCGAGCTGAAGCTGGTTCAGCGTGTGGGGCTTTCTTGCGGCTCAAGAATCTGAGAAGGATTCTGAAGGGCCCATAAGGTCATAAGGGGCCACTTCTGGGCTTCAGAGGTCACACGGCCTGTGCTGCGTGGAGCAGATATTTGCCGACTCGTGTCGCGTAGACGAGCCGAGCCTAGCATCACAGCCTATCAAGCTGATCTTTCACAGGGGTGGATATCAACAGGACAAAGAAGGACCAATCAACCCGAATCTATCTAAAAGGAAGACAGCCCGAAACGTTACAAGCTCTTAATGCACTTGCGTGCCCCTGACCCTAAAGACACGATGCCTTAAGTCCTAAACCCTCAATCTGCGACACTAATGCCAGTCCATGCCCTGCACTGCGTCCTGAGAGAGAACTCCAGGAAATACAGCTTCTTTATGAAATCCGGAGAAACGGATTTACAGCCTTGGAATTCTTTATCTTGGTAATCTGTTGATTGGTTTGATCCTTACGTGCTTTTTGTTTATCCCGGTCTTTCACAGCCATGATAAGTGCTGTGCACTCTAAATGCGTACAAAGGGCGCCTCGAACACCTTTTTTTTAGTCGAAAAGCGGCTCGCGGTCTCCCAGATTCCAAGAACCCGGATGAGTTTTGTTCCGGGGTGACCCTCTAACCTCGCAGGCCTAAGACAGGGTATACGACTCGGACCCCGACGCATGGGAAGCAGCGCCCTACTTTTGGAAATTTAACTTCTCTCATCAACATCAAGCTGCCAGGAGTTTCCCAAGGTCGGGGTCGATGACCCCCTAAACTTCCTACTTCCCTCTGGTTGGGTGGACCCGCGAAATGCCGGGTCCCATAGCATCACGTAAAGTCCAGCACCCTTACCGGCCTTACCGCGCTGAACCTCGAAAACGAATCCCATCCCAAAATCACGCGAGGCCCGCCTCGGCTCTGTGAGAAGCAGGAGATCGAGGCTCAATGGTACTAGGGATGCTGGGGCTCTGGCAGTTAAGGGCGCCTGGGAGATTCCACGTTAGTTGTAGGGACATGGGAAGGTTGGGGGGGTTAACTTCGTGAGGAGCTTGACGGGAGGTCAAATTAGGCAGTAGAGCTGGACGGGTGTCAGGATTTTGGGGACCTTTACGTTGCCTTGCAGACATGGCCAGTGCTTCGGAAAGAAGAGAAGCAGAGAGTCGAGAGGATTCGGTGTTTATGGGAGGAATCCAGAGTCAAGTCGGTCTGTGATTTCTAGGCTCGGCTTGAATTCGATTGTGGCCCTCAAGATCAAATTAAGCCTCGTCGGGTCTGTGTGTTTAGTGAGCTTTTTTTGCAGTTTGCAGTTCTTCAATCAGGCTGGAAGCCACAAACAGCGTTGCAGGGTTGCCGCAGGATGAGTTCTTCTAGAAGCCGGACGGCAGAGGCGTGAGCAGAAGAAATTCGCCGCCCTTCACCAGTTCTGACACTTATCGAAGCTTGGGCCCCCACCCCCAGCCATGTCCACGTAAGTTGTGAGGTCTACCAAAAAGAGGGGGGCCTGAATGTTGATAGGGACCCCAGACTGGGGCTGGCCAGACAGAGTTCCGTTGGAGCGCATGAATATTTGGCGCTGGTGGACGGACAGGCGTGCGAGAGAGTTAGGAGATAAGTGCGGGGGCTCGGCGCGTGCTTGGACGCACGGCTATGTTGGCATTTCTGCAGGACATGAACATGGAGTTTCCAGACAGCATCTTTTTGGTGCCGCCTGTCTCCCCAAATCGCCTCCTGATAATGAGTTTCGTAGATGGCTTGGCACACCTCAAGGGTGATGCTTTGCATTGCTGCGAAGTGCACCTAAAGCAAGCTGCATTGCACCTGGCCTCCTGAATCCCCAGAAGCATTCTGACAAAGCTCTCGGGAGGGGCATGCAAAGCAGTGGAAATTCGTGTTGCGCACGGCTTTTTGCTTGTTACCGTGAGCACACGGTCACAAGTGACCGAGCTGCGATAGAGTCGTTGATACTGGTGTCCGGCTTGGCCGGCGGCCGCATCAACACTGGCAAGATGCGCAGGAAAAATCTTTGGGAGGAAAAGTATACTCTCTTGTCATCACACCATGTTGGAAGAGAGCTCATAAGGAACATGGAGGAAGACGTTGCCAAGTTTTCGGTGTAATGCTAGTTAGGGCAACCCAAATTAGCTGGCCACCTGCGCGCATCCTTCTGGCTCCACGTGAGTAGCCGGACTTGTAAGATGTAGGCCATGTGGGCGGAGGCAGGTAATGCATGGGAAGCGACGTCGTCTAGCAAAGTATGTCACTTAGGGCTTTGTGCTGGCGGTTTTTGTTGGGGTCC